GGGGGGGGGGGGGGGGGGGGGGGGGGGGGGGGGGGGGGGGGGGGGCAGAGCTGTCCTGATTGTATGCCTATATGGCTAACCACACACGCAGAACTGCACACACGAGAGACACATAACACGCCGACATGTATGCTGGGATCCGTCATTTGTAGAAACCAAAAAAGGTTCGCGCCGTTACTAATGTGAAACAAACGCTCCACGGGACGGGAAGAAACCTGCGGACTGACACTCGTTTCTAGGAGGATCGTTCAACACCCTGCACCCTACCTCGTACACGCGACAGCATCCGTTCTCAGTTGTCTAGAGATACTACTGCTGTACGTGTGTGATGTGTGGCCTACTCCACCCCCTCTTCTCTCTCTACGAAAATGACTCAATCCCCGATGTAACTCGTTTGGTAGATTCGGTCCATGACGTAACGGTCGCCCCGGTGGTCTAGTGGGTAACCTCGCAGCCTGCTAATGGCCAGGTCATGGGTTTGAGTCCCGGTAGAGTGAGTTTGTTCTCACCAAATAAATCCTGGTCTAGGATGAAAGCGTCGAGCTGCAAAGCTCGTTGTTAGTAAACCATAATCGACTTCGTAAGTCGCGAGGGAAGGGATTGCTGTACCCTTCTCGCGATAAAAATACCTCAGGCAGGAACCGCAGGAGGGGGCCCAGCCCCCCCCTCCTATGTGACCCAGGTTGGGTCGTCTAGCTAAAAGAAGTGGAGGATAGGGGCCAGAGGGGCAGATGACAGAGTCCACTGATAGGAGAAAAAGATAACAATGATAACGGAAACCTTCTCCCCGATAGCTCTTTCGTTGACCCAGTAGAAAACTACAGGTAATGTGTTAAGAATGTATCCGCCTGACCATATGCTTTTGTTGTTAGCACCAACTGGCATCACTGATAACTCAGTGTACGGCTTACACAAACTCAAAATAAGCCCAGTCTCCAGTCGGTTTCAATCCACTTCACTACACCCCTTTCGACTGAGGTTATCTCTCGAACGGGTAATCTTTCTGTGAGGATATGTTTACTTTCAAAAAAGACAAACCAATCGTGCCCCTTGAGAACACAAACGAAATGTACCTATGGAGGTAGTGTATGATACAAGAAAACCACCCTAAACTAAACCGTATACTACTGCCGTTAGTTGTAGACACGGAAGACATGAGAAAGTAGCGCTCGCTCTCCTCCTACACTTCCGGGTGGCCGGCCGTCGACGACACACGCCATCAAAATCAGACATAAAAGATACAAAAATCAAACAAGCGCGCGGACGTTTGATTAGTCCTGAACTCGAATGCATACCAAAGCAGGTTCAGAATACGATCGCCGCAACCCCCATTGGCGGGCTCATTGCGGCGCGGCCAAGCCTTCGACAACAACAGGAAAAAAAAAAAGGCGAGGAGTCTCTTACCGACGGCATACCTTCCCCGCCCCTCCCCCCTCCGCCCGGTATGAACACCGGAGAGAGCCTTGTGTCTGTCCATCCATCCGTCAGATGGTTGTTTTTTTTATTCTCTCAACAGCAACACGTACCACCACATGATGCAACCGCTGTCGCGATCTTCTCCCACTCTCACTCGTCAAAAGTCGAAGAGCGCAGCGTCTTAAGCGACGCCTCAATGTCGTAACAAATCCCAAAGATTATGATATACCGTTGGCAACAGAGACACTTTTTTTGCCCCCTCTGAAAGGCATAGATATTGCTCTTACGAACTTGGATATCCCAGCCCAAACCGACCGTACTCCGATAAAGCCAAGAGCGGGGAAATCAAGGTACCGCTGCATAGCTCGAAGAGTCAATCGCCCTTCCGCATGCGACCCACGCGGTAAAAAACGGGGGTGGGGGGGGGGGACAACAACTCCTCTTTGCTTCTCCCTCCGTAAATTCCTTCGCTGCTGTTGTGGACGGACACCACTCCACACCAGCGTTTAACTCGATAACAAAGCACGCTATGGCTACAGGTTTGAGGAGTCATATGCTACGCCGATGGCCCACAGATCCTCCAACCCCATCTCGCCCGCGCACACCCTAGTGGCTGTCGCGACCTTAAGCGACGAGCCCAATAAAGGGAAGGGAGGACAGGCAGACAGATGTATTGCAAACCACCTCGTTAGAAAACGCACAAGACACAAACGTGTATCAACGCCCAATGATACACAGGGACAAGACCGATACACACAACGAGAATCCATTTTGCTAAATAAAACGTTTCGTTTGACCGCCCGGCTGGCCCGCCGCCGTCCACAGGCCGATTCAGATCAGGCTCACGTAGTTAGAAGGGAAGAGACCCTTGCGTCCCCCCTTTTCTCCTGTCCACCATCCGCTCTGATCCTGGCTCACCACCGTCAGCACCTACAGCAGAGTAACACACGTCGTTCGCCAAAAAGCAAGCCCAAAGAGAAGAGGAAAGCAGAAGGATAAGGCGACCATCAACATCGAGACGGCGGCGAGGGGAGGAGGGGGCAAGCACTCACGGAAACAAAACAGTACCAACGGCTTAACGGGAGGGCGGGGTCGAGGCGCTCACAACAAGAAAATCTGGGCGCAAAATAGGCCATTGTACAACAGATGGATAGGCTCAGTCCGTGCTTCGCATATGCAACGACAGCGGTAGTGGTAGCAGCAGCAACAGCAGTCGCGAAAATGACATTCGCAACGTGAACGGCAAACATTTAAGGAGAATGACGCTAGAAAAAAAGGTATAAACGAAAAATATTACCATGGTAGGATACGTCGTCGCGTCACGGACTGCAAGCGATGAAAGAAAGGTTAAGAAATAATCTACATCAGTATGTGGTGGTTCGGACATTATCGTTGAAATCAACGTGTGTCCGTGATTTGCTATCCTGTTCAGGCAACGCAGCGTCAATACCACCACCAGCAGCAGTAGCAGCAGCAGCGGTAGCAGCAGCAGCAGCAGTAGCCCACAAAAAACACGAACCCAACACTACTTGTCGAGAATAGTCTGCCGTGGCTGTTCAACACAAGGCTCGACTAACCTCGCCCTCCGTGAGCGAGAGCTCCGTATTGTCCGCTGCGGTGTAACTGAACAGCGCTCGGGCTTGCTGTTGGCCCGTCGCGGGCGGCGCCGGANTACTCATAGTCGTGCACGCCGTAGTCGTTAGACCATTGACGTCGCATCCCTACAAAGCCGGGACGGACCACGCCGGGTTCTCACCGGACCAGGCTCTCACATCACCAAGCGCGAAGCGCCGTGAGATATTCGGCGAGTCGCATGAAGGGTGCGCCGCATCCTGCTAAGGGTGTTCGGCATCTTGTGCTTACTTCCTTGCGTACGGATGACAGCTGCGTATGAATTAACTTATTTTCTGGTGCTTTCACGTCCTGAGACAGTTGTACGCACTATGTAACTGCCTCGAGGGTGCTTGACCATTTTAACACAACGTGGTGCGATCATCCCCCTTGCGCGGAGTGAGCATTCTCGACCCCGCACAACATGATCTNGGGGGGGGGGGGGGGGGGGGGGGGGGGGGGGGGGGGGGGGGGGGGGGGGGGGGGGGGGGGGGGGGGGGGGGGGGGGGGGGGGGGGGGGGGGGGGGGAGGCAGGTTCAAAACAAAATGAAGACATCCGAGATGAGCCATGCGTGAGCTTGAGGCAACAGGGAGCAACGCTCCATTTCTTTGGAAAACGACCGCAAGAACGGAAACACAGCAAGCAGACAGGCAGAACCTCCCCCACGGCCCATTGCCCTTTACCCCTCCAGCTCCACACAGTCAACAAACCATCGCATGAAATAGTCAGAGTCATCAAGTCCAACGACGAGACAGCCTTCCGAACGACCACACAAGGGCGATAGATAACTCAAGGAACAGACCCCACCGAATGATTGCGGGTAGATATACGCGTGAAACCCAATCTACATGTGCCACCTTTGGCTCGCAAATACTCGACAAAAAAAAACTCGCTATTCCGCGGCGGCCTCTTTTTCGTTCCGCCGGCTCACACGGAGAAACTCTTGGCCTGACTCACGCACGCCAACCACCGGAGCACAAGCGCTGCATGCACGGTGCCACAACCTCCTCGACTCTCCCCACCCCCTCCCTCTCACACACGTACCTTGGTCCCTGCCCCCCACCCCGAAGCGGCCGCCGCCGGCTGCGTGTCGGCCGTCGCCGAGTGCTTATCCCACCAACTGCTCCCGCCTCCGCCGGCTGGGGGCGCCTTGAACGACCCGGTCCCCGGAGAGGCCCCCGCCACCCCGCCGCCCACACTCGACCCGCCCGTTAACCACGGGGCCGACGCCGACGGGACATACGCGGAGGCCGGGCTTCGGTCCGGCGAGTCGTCGCCCCCGGCCCTCGTCGAAGCGTCCTTGAGTGCACCGCTCATACCGGACATGTTGGACAACCTTGGTGGGAATTTTTTTTTTTAGGGG